ATTAACAATGAAAAAATAGGTTTGTATCTTTACTATATCTAGTTTTGATGTTCATTTGCTTTTGTTCAAAACTCAACACATTGTGCATTTATTCCATTATATTATATATTATGTGTGAAAGAATCTTTATGAGGTTAACAGATTATACTCACAGATATTTCAGTATCATCTTCTCCCTGCAGAAAGTAATAAACACTGGGGTATGCTGGAGAAATCCAATATCATGACAGATACGATATAGAGCGAACGTCGTCACATCAAGTAATATAACTCACATTAGCTGTGGGTTAGCAAACTGTTGCTGGATAGGTGGACAGCAGCAGCAGTAACAACCTTATGGAGACATACAGTCGTGAATCATCAACCTAATAATTGTAAAATTGTAATAAGTTTCTGCAGAGGACATTATTGTTGGTTGATCTTTATTTTTTTATGTGCATTCATTTAAATTATCCTTTCAATTATCTTTGTCTCTCTGTTGCAGGTTTAAAAAAAGCATTCTGTTTTATAGCACATCAATAATTTCCAGCTTGAGAAAGAAAGGAGCTGTAAGAGTTGTCCCTCTAGAGGAGTCCCACAGTGGTTGTCAGGATGGTAACACACACCTCTCTGCTATTGTGTGTGCGTGCAGGGGACTGGTTCACATCAATCTACCTGAGGGACGCTTATTTCCATTTTGTGTATTTGATATATTGCACTACTTTTTCCCCTGCATTTCAATAGCTGATAGAACAACTTGTCCCTTAAATTCAGTTTGCCTTATCTGTGTTACAGTCACTAAAAGAAAGGGTTGTTCGTACAGTGATTCAGTTATTTGATCAGAATATATTGATTGTTGTTCTGATGGAGATTTTTGAGTTGGGTTTCTATGTGTGAAAGTATCTTTATGTAAGTTTGTCCTTTAATTATTCTACTGTCTTTTTGTATTTTGTATTTTGTATTGACAGTTAAAAGGTAAAAGCTTCTGTTTGTTCACTTGATTTCAAAAATTACATGGCTGACTTTGTCCTTTCATAATATAAAGAATATATATATATATAGAATATATATATATAGAATAGAATAAAGAATTTATTTCAGCTGTGGTGTGAAGTCCAGAGCTTGACTTAACAAATAAAATATATTCTGCAACTGTGTGTGTGTGTGTGTGTGTGTGTGTGTGTGTTGATTATTAGCTGGTGATTAAACTAATATCTTTAGGATCTACACAGACTTTATATTGTCTTTATATCATTAGAGTAGTAGCAGTGCCATCAGTCAGTAAAAGCCAGTGGGGACTTTTATTGATCTAAAAAACTTTAAGATAGATAAGATAGTTGTCGGCACAATGACATGAGAGGCTCTAGTTTGTGAAATTATTGTCAGTCTGGAACAATTCAGATATTTAGCTAAATTAATTGATTCGGCCTCGTTAAGAATGCCAAACACTTTTCTTTTATTATTAAGTTAATTTGTTGGCTGCAGTGGTGGAAGAAGTACTCTAATACCACAGTGTATTCCTGCATTCATATATTTACCTAAGTTAAAATACAGTTATTACAAGTATTAGAATCTAAATATCAAATGTGAAAGTTCATTAAGCAAAATGACTCATTTCAGAAGAAATATATCACTGGATTAATTGATTTAAATTGTAAGCATCACTAATGTTGCAGCTGTTAAGGTGGAGCTAATTAACTTACTGCTTTGTACACTGCTGGGTTGCTTATTCTATAATAACAAGTTAATTAGTTGATTATATTTTGTATTAATCTGAAATGATCTGAATCTGCAAAGTAAATGTGAAATAAATGTAGTAAAGTAAAGAAAAACTCCACAATGTAGTATAAAGTAGCACAAAATGAGTAGTAAAGTAGAAATACTGTGTTTTAAAGTGCTTAATGTGTGTATTTAACATTAAACCTCACTGTCTATTTAAAAGGAGCGACAGAAGAAGTGCCATCTCTTCAGTAGGGGATTCCGTTGCCCTTCAACTACACATTTATCGTGTAGAGATGATTTTACACCCCCAAACAACCCGAAATAAAACAAAAAACACAATTTCACCTCATGTTTCTAAAATCTCCCCCCACATTAATCCCTACCGCTTAAATCCAACAACACGTTGACAGCGCGCCACCCCTCCGGTGCTGGAGTTGGTCTCTCCCGCGGGCAGCAGACGCACATGTTGGGTGTGTTGTGTTTGCAGCAGATATTTCAGCAGCTTTAAAACACGTGTGCTCGCTGTCACACCGCAGATAGGATGCGATAAACAGCTCTCAGTCAACGACAAACACTTAAAGTCACCTTTTAATTCAAGAAGACACTGAGGAAGAGGAGGAAGAGGAGGAAGAGGAGGAAGAACGACAGGCGACCCGGAGCGGCTGCAGGCGGCTACAGGTTCACTTCACCGGGGGACTGAAGGTGTGTACACCGACTCCACTCACTGTCAGTGGGGGTCGACGACCCAGGAGGCTGCTGTCCTTCAATAAACCCTCCTTAAAGCTCCTTCATGTCGGCTAAAAACGCTCATTGAGGGTCGTTTTGTTGCCGGTTAGCTCCGTTAGCTCCCCTCAGCTGCTCCATGTGAGCCCGCTGCTCATTAAAGAGGCTGTTCATTAAAGATAATGTCAGGAGGGAAAGTGAAGGAGTTTATGTGTTTGTATTTGTCTTTATAGCCTGGATAATGTCTCACAGTCTGGTGGGGACATGAGGGGAAAGGGCCGCCGGGTAGCTGAGCAGTGCCACGTAGCTAACCGGCTAATGGGAGCAGAGAGTTGTGCACAATCACTGCTGCAGGGTCTGTGCTTCATCTCACTGAATTACTACAATACTACAATACTACACTGTGGTGCGAGGACAAGTCCTGCAACATGCTACTGAATGTCTGTGTAATGAGGTTAACTTTAATGAAGTTACAGCCTGTTTGCTCATTAGTAGATTGGTAGTGATGCGTTCAAGTGTCAGCTGGTGGAGGTAGAGCTTTTTATTTCTTTACTCTTAAACTGGATCTTCTGTTAGCTTCCACAAAAACAATAAAACTGGGAAATAAAAAAATAAAATATAAAGCAGCTGGTGAAGTTTTTGCACTTTATTTAAAAAAAAAAGACTTATTATCACTGTTACAAGGAAAACTCCTACAAAATGTTTCTTAATGTCAGTATAATGAGGACAATGTGCATAAAGTATTCATTATACAGAGATATTACCCCTTAATGAGTTACAGTATATTTAATACTCCATTATTAGATTGTTAGTGGTGCTTTAAAGCTGAAGTAGGTCATTTTTAATTCAATATTTTTTGTCATATTTACTGAAATCTTGACTTTATCCTGACTGTGGTCCATGAGACAGATAATCTGTGAATAAATCAGCTTCCTCTGGCTCGTTCTAGAGCTCCTAATGACGTTTGTGAGAACCTTAAAGTGTGTTTGATGCTCTGGAAATGAGACAGTTATCTGTCTGCACTTGGAGGTTTACGTTCAGGTGTAGAGCTGCAACGATGAGCCGATCAATTGATTTGTTGTCGTTTTATTAAATGAAATCCTACTATTTTGATAATTGATGAATTAATTTGAGTGAATTCTCTGATTTCATCTTCTTAAATGTGAATATTTTCTGGTTTCGTTAGTCCTTTAAGAGTGTAAACTGAATACTTTTACATATAAAAGACATTTGAGGGCATCATATTGGGCTTTATAAACAGTGAATGACATTTTTCACCATTTTCTGACATTTTCTGGACTAAACAGCTTATTGATGAATCGAGAAAGTGATCAACAGATTAATTGATAGAGAAAATATAACAAACAGTTTCCCATTAAAGCTGAATGGTATAATAAACAAAAATAAATCCTACTTATAGCAAATATAGCAAAACAACCACATTGTGACACTGAACCCTTTTTGTCTTTTTTCCCATCAGGCTTTGAGGCTTTGAGGCTTGCCGTGCGTCACCATGAGTTCCAAGGTGTGTAAGAACTGCGGCAGCACTGAAATCGATGTGGACGCGGCCCGCGGCGATGCCGTCTGTATGGGCTGCGGCTCCGTGCTGGAGGACAACATCATCGTGTCCGAGGTGGAGTTTGTGGATTCGGGAGGCGGATCGCTGGCCGTCGGACAGTTCATCTCCTCGGAAGGTGAGAACGAGGAAACTGACGTCCAAATATGTTTTTAACTGGTTATAAAACGGCCTCAGTTTGATCCTGATGCCTCTAAATGACCTTTAATAAATAAACAACATCAGGAAGAAGTTAGTTATTCCTATATAGTTATTCTTAATGCCATTCCCCTTGAAATCAATGAAACACTACCGCTTTCATCCACAGGGGTCGCCAGAATCAACGCAAAACAAACCTAATGACAGTTCCTTGTTGGGACTTTAAGTAGAAATTTAAGGTGCTTGTACTCAACTTCTACCTGTCCCACTACACGTGTCTGTTACTTTAGATGTGAAAATTTAAGGTAAACAAATGTATTAAAATACACAACAGTGAATAAAATTTGAGCTTTAAAGGACCAGTGCGAACACGGTCACTTCATCCTCCTCTTCCAAACCCGAAGGAGAAACTACGGTGGCTGTGGTGGCTGGACCTTTTTAAATGATTTATTAGATTAATCAATAAATCAGTGATCAGTGACTGGTTTGATTACTTTTAATGTGAAACAATGTTAGACGTCAGATTTGTTCTTTTTCTTTAATCACAGTAAACTGAATAATTTTGGTTTGTTGGTCGAACAAAACGAGACATTTGATTACAATTTTCTTCTCTTACCAATCAACCGATCGATCAATAAGCATATTCAGCTCCACCTCAACCGACTACAACAGTAAAATCCTGTTTTTACATTAACTCTGACTTTGTCAGTTACAGAGTTCGTTCTTTATGCAGCAGAAATAATTAGATGATTTTCCTTTAAATTAAGACTCACTTTCAATACTTTTTCCAGTTATTAGAGGTTATTGACTATAACCTTTGACCCTTTGACCTTTTGATCTGAGGTTGTGCAGCTTTTAAGGATGTGAATCATTTCAAGATACTTTAAATAAACGACATCAGGCAACAAATAACCGTCGACGGCGGAGGAGCAAAGTTCAGAGTGTTAATGCACGAGTCATTATAATCTAATGAGATCAGATATAAGAGTGTTTATTACTCACAGGGGCGTTTCCTTTGCTTTCAGTACATTTAATACTTTTAGTAGATTTTCCTGATTTTTATACTGTTTAATTAAGTAACATTTTTAATGAAGCGCATTTACTTGCAATGGATTATGTTTAAGACAGTTTTGTAAATAAAATCAGGTTATGTCTAAAACGGCCTCATTTAATGTGATTTAATTCACTTATGATCATTATCGTTTTAAGTCTTACAGTGAACGTCTATCGTCTGTCTGGCGGCTGAGCATTCACTGATGAAGA